TCTGAAAATTGAAGTGAACCAGAGAAATGCTTGACTGTTATGATGCTATCACTGACACTGTTAACTACAGTCTCTCAGAGAGCTGGAGATGCTGGTGGGAGGCATATGTTGGTACATTCCTTTGGCTAGTGTTCTAGTGGCTAAGGAGGAATTCAAACCACAACTACGACCTGGATGGACTTTCAGAGTTTCCGCTACGACCAAGTAGAATTTGCAAGGGAATCACAAGGCTAAACAAAGCATATTTTCTCTTTTAGTTTTCTTTTGGCTGAAGAACTGCAGAGTCATAGAATATAAGAGCTGGAAGGGATTCTAGAGAACATCTTCCTGATCCAACTACCTAAATTTGCAGGTGGGGACAATGAAGCCCCGGGGAGGGAAGTGACTTCACCAAGGTCACACAGATAAACAGTTGCAGAACCAGGATTAAAATGCAAATCCAAAGCTGTTTCTATTATACCCCATTGCCTTTCCCACTGTACACTGGCTAGCCAACTTACAGATCAAAACATTGGATTGTCAGGTTTATGTCAGAATGCTATGGCAAAGGAAAACAGCTTGGAACTGAAATGTGACCAAAAAAATTAAAAAAAAAAAAGAATGCCATAGCAGATTATCTGGGTCCATTTACAGACTGCCAGTGGGGCTTCCTATGTGATATGATTTGAAGTGGGCCCGAGCTTCTTACCCCTGCAGTGTCCAAAACATTGTGTATCATTTAAACATTACTGTATACTTTCTTTGATTCTTAAACTGTTTTGGTCTTCAATTGAAAACAAAACAAAATAAAACACGAAGACTTCTGGGGAAGGTCCTAGCCCTTATCACTAACATTTTATTTGTGACATTTTTAGCAAGGATTAAAGAGGAACAGACCTAGGCTGGGTGCCTGGGAGTGTAAATATTTAGGATATGTAAAAGGCAAAGACAGGAAGGGGAGAAAATGGGCAACAAAGGGAAAAAGATTTTGGCCCAGGTACGGTGCTACATGAAATCACAAATCAGAATCACATGCGCAGCAAGTAGAAAGAAAGGTCTTGGTTTGATGAAAGTGCTTAGAGTGGATGAAGGATCTGTTGAAAAGTTTTCGAGAAAGAAGTTTCACAAGAGTTTCCTGATCGTGTGGGTGGGTGGAGGCTATTTTGGGGAGAGATAAAGTGAGCATTTTCTTGCATTTGGAGTGGTACCCCACAGAAAGGGCTATTTTCTGACTATTAGAATAGGCTATTTCTTTCATTCATCTTCTTTAAAAGCATCAGTCAAAGAGAATTATGGTGACATGATCATATATTCCAACTCATTAAGATAAGTGCCCCAGCCCCCCTCCCTTTTTCCTCAACCCTAGTCCACTTTGTCAATTCTGGGTAACAGTTGAACAATAGTCATTAAGGCTAACAGTCTGGGTTGCTGATGTAAGCAAAGTGCAGCACTTGCCAGGAAATCAAGCAATAACCCAGCCCATCCCCATTATTATGTATTGAACCCAAGGCAGGAGTGGAGAAAATCCAAAAGAAAGTGGTTATCAAAGTTTGTGCCAGTGGGATAATGGTGTTATTTAAATTATCCAATTGCTTTACCATAGCAAGCCTTTGTCTCTAATACAGAAATCCTGCTTAGAAATGTGCTGAGATTTTATTTCTGTGATCACAGCTGAAATGCTGGAAAGGACTCTGTTGGATTTCCTTCCACATTCCTCAGTAACCTCAATACCAAGATGTCTTATTGGGATAAAAATTACTCATCAGATCTGTGTAAGTTGGGGAGAATAAGGTATTCTGTGTTAGTGAAGATGATGCAGTTTACCACAAAACTGTATTATTGTCAATCAAGGAGTGCTATGGCTTTGGGTAAATCAAAATGACAAGATACCTTGGAGAAAATGTTGCATATTACCAAACTGGAGCAGATTACCAATAAAAGCTTGCTTGAGATAAGTGATATAAAGGATATGTGGGACAGGAAAGGAAGATAATCAAGCTGTCACGGAGTGAGAGGATTCTGGGAAGATGGTGGAGTAGGTCACAAAAGTTTTGCTTCTCCAAATTTCCTCCACAAAAAAGACAGAACATTGCCTCGGAGCAGTTGTCCTCCCAAGACAATTTGAGAAGACCCCAGGAAAGGACCAGATCTCCAAGGGTGAAGGTTCTGTCTCAGTGTCCACCAGACTTTGCAAAATCAACAAATAAGCCCTGGAGGCAGCTGGGGTTGGAAGGCAGCCTCAGCCTTAGAAACTTTCATCTCCAAGATGGTGTAGGGGTCTGATGGCTGAGGAGGAGAAGATTGAGGGACCTTCCACCGTCAATGGATGCCAAGCACAGCTGTGCTGACCAGATGTATCCTGGACTGTGGCTTTAGGGAGAAGGAGCTAGCACACACCTGGTGAGTGCAGTAGTGAGGGGCAGGGACCCCATTGGCTCTGGGCACTTGCAGGAGAGCAGAGTCCCTGCTTTCAGTTCCAGAGCAGAGAGGACAGCTGTAGTTTGAAGCCACTGGAGGGACCCTAGGGAACAAGATCATTTGTGGGACAGTGTGGCTGGGGACCCTAACTGTGGCTAAGGAGTGGAGAGGAGAGCCCTAAGCGGGGCCCTGAGAAAGACCTGAGAAAATAACAGTAAGAAGGATCTGAGACTTGGGGCATCATTCCCCATATCTAGGGGCTACAACTTGATTACACTAATAGCTGCTAAAAAGAAAATAAAAAAAAATGAAAATTAGTAAGCAAAGGAGAAAGAACCCAACCATAGACAGTTACTATGGGGATAGAGAAGATCTGGGTTCATATTCAGAGGAGGATAATGGAGCTAAAAAAGCCACTCCTTTTTAAATGAGAAACAGCAGTGGTCTCAAGCAGAAAAAGAGTTCTTGGAAGAACTTAAAAAAGACTTTAAAAATCAAATAAGAGAGATTGAGGAAAAATTAGATAAGAGCAATCCAAGAAAATCAAGAGAAGAAAATCAACCAACTTGAAATAGTGAAAAAATAGAGTGCCACATAGGGGATGAAAAGAGAAGGAGGCCTGTAGCGTGTTTATGGGATAACCATCATGGTCAAGCATTTTCCAAAAAAAAAAAAAATGAAAAAAACTATACAGGATGGAAATAGATAACATTTATCTTATGTTTTAGAGTTTGAAAAGACTTTATATACATTATCTAATTTGAGCATTATAACAATGTTATAAGGTAAGGCACTACAGGTATTTTTATTTTTATTTTCATTTTATAGATGAGAAAACTGGGGTTCATGAAGATTAAGTAATTTGCTCATGGGCACACAGCTAGTGTCAGAGGTCGGGTTTAAACCTAGATCTCCCTGGTTCCAAGTCTAGCACTTTGCCCACTGCATCACATGTGGAAAGATAGAAAGGCTCAAGACTTTAGCAGTCTAAAAATGTGATATAGTGTGTGGTCAAGTCAAATGCTTGCTGATGGATGACCATTCCCACCGCAAAGACTTGAAGATTTGGCAGTGAGGAAGTAGTATTGTCACTTCGCTTATTATAGGTGTTCAGTCAAAGTAGCCTGGTCAAGTAGAAAAATACGGGGCTGAGAAGTCAGGAGACCTGGTTTTGCTATTAACTATTGCATTCTCTAGTACTCATTTCTTTAATTGTATAATGAGGAGATTGGACTAGCTAAAGGCAATAGTTCCAACTCTGAGCTCTTGTGATTTTGGTGACTGAACACAAGATAGTGAGTTACCTAAAATGTTACCTTTAAGGCTCCCATTTACAGCCTAAGGACTTCTGGGAGACTTACCTTCTCCTGATTTAGGGCTTGATTCATATGCCTTTGATCTGGCCACAAATTCCCATGTAAGACTTCATGGTGTTATCTCCATCTGGACTGTTGGATCTATTTCAATAATTTCTAATCTGGTTTTGTGCTACCCTAGCAGACCTCTAATTATTGTAAGTAGCAGTCCCCCAAAAATAGCAAAACAAAGTTAGTTTTGATTCACTTTCAGTTAAAAGAAATACATATCTTTTGGTAATTTTAGGAGAGCCTCTGTGTGTGTGTGTGTGTGTGTGTGTGTGTGTATGTGCATCCATGCGAGTATGTGTTTGAGAGTGAGATAGTCAAGACAAATAGGCAGATAGTCCAGAGAAACTCTAAAAACCTTGGGAATCACTGTTATATTGGATGAAGAATTAAATCTTCATTGATGCTTGAAACATGTGCTATAATCATTCATCATGAAACAGAAGCATCAACAAGAATAGATCTGACCAGGCAAAAAAGGGTTTCGTTCATACTATAAGAACTGAGGGAGTAAGAGACTTTAATTTCCTAAGAATACAGAATGTGTCAGTGAAGGGACAAAGCCTAAACAAATTACACTTCTCTTCCTCCTTTACGAAGTTATATGAAGAAGGGTAAATAAAAGTTTGATATAGTTTTGGACAGGAAAGTAGCAGGCTTAGGTAAGTAGAAATAGAGAAAAGTTATGAACCTGATCAGGTAGAATTACTTCCCTAATACAGGTGGGGCTAATCACCAGGATGACTGGGAACTTTGCAGTGTGTCTAGGGGATATTGGCCTGTGTTGTTCACTCATCCCTACCCTTTTGGAAAATTGCAGGTTGTTCCATGAGCCATTAGAGGATGCCTTCTGGAGGCAGCCCAGTCAGTGACCCTCAACCACCAGAAAATAGTCAAAATACAAGAATGGGAGTATACTACTGTTGTTCCTGTTCTTGTTCAAGTCTGATTGAGGAAGCAATTATTTTGATCTCTGACATCCTCCCCGTATATGCCCATAGCATAAGGAGGCATTTACTTACTGATCTGTCTTTGTGATAGAAAAGAATAATATCCTTTATTCCTCTGGAGGCACTCAGAAGGGGTCATATTGCTCCCAGGGGCCCATTCCCCTAACCTGGTGTAACCCCACTCTAATTTTAGTTCCGTTACTCTCTTTCCAACCTGCTGATGGGATATGATTAATACAGTGAATTTACCAAGTATAAAAAATAAAGAAAGATGGCATAAAACTATTACCTGATGTACGATTATGCCGGGCTACAGGCTGTACAGGTCCCAAGAACTCCACATGGCTTGGTCTTCCAGCCAGCAATCCATCTGGCACTTACCTGAAGTAGATACAGTCCAGGCTTTACAGGAGAAGACTTGATTAGAGTCAGATCGCCAAGGATTATCTACCAATGCCTGAAAGCCAGTCCTGTGATCTAATAGGTCATGCTCACTTCTACTTTTTTGAGATTTACATGCAAAACGGTGAGCATTGGAACCCAGGCCACCGTGGGAAGTGACCATCTGGGAAGCTGTTAGAAAGGAGGTGCCTGGAGTGATGGGTGGCAGACTCTGTGTTCTGATTGGGGGTAGTCCCTTATGCTCCTGCTGCTTCTTTTCTGATGAGAGATACTTTGATGTTTCTGTGGCCCTTTTTTTCAAGTCCACCATTACCATTCTCTGATCTGGTAGCTCTTGGCAGTTGGTATCTGCAATGCAGTCAAAGGTAGTGATGATGTCATCAACTTCCGAAGCATCTTCTCCCGAGTACCTATCCTGGCTGTGATCTTTCTCATTAGCTCTCTGATCTTCCTTCTTCTTACAGAATATTTGGTTAAGCGTGCTGAATGGTCTCTCTTTCTTTAGAAGTCTATTGTTCAGGGAAGAAAGGGAGTGAATAGTTTCAGGTCTATGGGAGTGTAAAAAAAAAAAGGAAGCATTGTGAGGGAGGATGAAAAGATGAGGCAAAACTGAACATTCAAAATATTGCACTGTATTGTTATTTAGGTTGACAAACTTAGATCTGGAAGGCTGTTAAGAATTATTTAGGTAGCCTCCAAGACAGTGTAAAAATTCCTTAAGCCCTTCTGTTCTTTCTTTTTGTAGAGATTACTGGTCAAGAAACACCTCCCCCCAAAGGCAGAGTAGGTTAGTCTTTCCCCCTGAATATTTTACCCTGCCTCAGCTCTTTTTAAAAAATCTTATTTAATATTTTATTTTCCCCCAATTATACATAAAACAATTTTAACATTCTTTTTTTCCCCCAAAATTTGAGCTCCAAAATTTCCCCCCCTCTCCTCATTGAGAAGGCAAACAATTGGACATAGGTTATACATGTGTAATCATGCAAAATACATTTCCATGTAAGTAATTATGTGAATGAAAACACAAAGAAACCCAAGAAAAATAAAGAAAAAGTATCTTTGATCTGCATTCAGGCTTTTCCAGTTCTTTCTCTAGAGATGGAAAGAAGCACTTTTCATCATAAGTCCTACAGAATTGTCTTGGATCATTGTATTGATGAGAATAGCTGAGTCATTTGTAGTAGATAATCATACAATATTGCTGTTACTATTTATAGTTCTGCTCATTTCACTTTGCATCAGTTCATGTAAGAATTTCCATGATGTTCTGAGAGCATCCTACTCACAGTAGTATTCCATCACAATTATATACAACAACTTGTTCAGCCATTTCCCAATTGAAGGGCATCTCCTCAATTTCCAATTCTTTGTCACCACTAAAATAACTGCTATAAATATTTTTGTACAAATAGGTCCTTTTCCTTTTTGTTTTTTATTTCTTTGGAATACAGACCCAGTAGTAGTATTGCTTGGTCAAAGGGTATGCATGGTTTTATAGTCCTTTAGGCACAGTTTCAGATTGCTCTTCAGAATGGCTAAATCAGTAAACAACTTTGCCAATAATATATTAGTGTTTTAATTTTTCCATATCCCTGCCAGCATTTGTCATTTCCCTTTTCATACTAACCAATCTGACAGGTGTGAGGTAATAGCTCAAGGTTGTTTTAATTTGCATTTCTCTCATCAATACTGATTTAGAACATTTTTTAAATATGAATATAGACCTATTCATATCCTTTGACCTTTTATCAACTGTGAAATGGCTCTTATTTCTGTAAATTTGACTCAGTTTTTTATATGTTTGAGAAATGAAGTCTTTATCAGAGAAACTCACTATAAATTTTTTTCCCACAGTAATGATTACCAAATACGTATTTCCCTCCATCCTATTTTCCCCCTGTTTATCTTATTCTCTTTTTCCTTTTACACTGTCCATTCTCAACAGTGTTTTGCTTCTGACTTTTACCTTCCCCAAAATGCCCTCCTTTGTATCAGCTCCTCCCCCTTTCTGTTGTCCCTTTCCCTTCCTACTTTCCTGTATGGTGAGATAGATTTCTACATCTAACTGAGTGAGTATATTATTCCATCTTTGAAGCAAGTCCAATGAGGGAAAGATTCATGTGCTCCTCTCCCTGCTTCCTCCATTTCCCCTCCACTGTAAAATCTCTTTCAGGCCTCTTTTATGTCAGATAATTTATCTAATTCTACCTCCCTCTTTCCCCTGCATTCTTCTCTCTCATACCTTAATTTTATTTTTTTAGATAATCATACCATCACATTCAATTCACAACTGTTTTCTGTCTATGCATACTTCTTCTAATTGCCCTAATAATGAGAAAGTTTTTAGGAGTTATAAATATAAATTTCCTATATAAGAATATAAGAAATTTAACCTTGTGAAATCCCTTATGATTTCTCTTTCCTGTTTACCTTTTTATACTTCTTTTTCATCTTGTATTTGAAAGTCAAATTTTATAGTTAGCTCTGGTCTTTTCATCAGGAATGCCTGAAAGTCCTCTATTTCATTGAATGTCCATTTTCCCCTGAAGGATTATATTCAGTTTTGCTGGGTAAGTGATTCTTGCTTGCAATGCTAGCTCTTTTACCCCCTGGAATATCATATTCCAAGCCCTTTAATGTAGAAGCTGCTAAATCTTGTGTTATCTTGACTGTGGCTTTATAATATTTGAACTATTTCTTTTTGATTGCTTGTAGCATTTTCTCCTTGATCTGAGAGGTCTGGAATTTGGTTATAATATTCCTGGGAGTTTTCACTTTGGGATCGATTTCAGGAAGTGATCAGCAGATTCTATTCTATTTTACCCTCTGGTTCTAGAATATCAGGGAAGTTTTCCTTAATAATTTCTTGAAAGATGATATCTAGGCTCTTTTTTTGATCATGACTTTCAGGTAGTCCAACAATTCTTGAATTATCTCTCTTGAATCTATTTTCCAGGTCAATCATTTATTCCAATGATATATTTCACATTTTCTTCTATTTTTTCATTCTTTTGATTTTGTTTGATTGTTTCCTGATGTCTCATAAAGTCATCAGCTTCCATTAACCCAGTTCTAACTTTTAGGGAATTATTTTCTTCAGTGACCTTTTGTACTTCCTTTTCCATTTGGACAATTCTGCTTTTCAAGGTATTCTTCTCTTCGATGGATTTTTGTGCCTCTTTTGCCATTTGGCTTATTCTGTCTTTTAAGGTGTTATTTTCTTCAGTATTTTTTATGTCTCCTTTACTAAGCTGTGGACTCTTTTTTCATGATTTTCTTGCATCACTCTCATTTCTCTTCTCATTTTTCCCTATGTCTTCTACTTGATTTTTAAAATCTTTTTTGAGCTCTTCCATAGCCTGAGACCAATTCATATTTTTCTTTGAGGCTTTACATGTAGGAATTTTGACTTTGTTGTCTTCTTCTGAGTGTGTGTTTTTATCTTCCTGGTCAGCATAGTAATTTTCTGTGGTTAGAGCTTTCTTCTGCTGTTTGTTCATTTTCTAGCCTATTTCTTGACTTTTAACTGTATGCCAAAGTGGGGCTCTGCTTCCCAAGTGGAGGGAGCACTGTCCCAAGCTTCAGGTTTTTTGTGCAGCTATTTTCAGAGGTAATTTTGGGTGGATTGGGGGGAGAAAGATTGCAAAAGTATATAGACACACACATATATACATACATCCATTGGGAGTGGATACCAAAGGATCAGCAATGCAAATTATTCTATCTTTTTCATCTTTTATTTTTATTCATCTTCTTTTATTTATTCACCTTCTGATTTATTAATCTTTTAATTATACATGTAGGTGTATGTGTGTGTATATTCAGGTGTATGTAACACATATACATGCATCCACATGCATAGTATATGTATATTGGTATATATAGACAGACATGTACGCACAAACACGTGTGTATCATACATACATATAATTCACATATGTATACATATTTCTATGTGTGTGTAAATACGTATGTATATGTACATGCATGTGCATGCATAGTCAAAAGAAGATGAATAAAACAGTCTGATGGAAGAATTTGCATTGCTGACCATTTGGCATTCACTCCCAATCTCTTTCACAATACACCCCAAATGTGCCCCCGTCTAGCACTATCAGGTGGCTTAGCCAGGGCTAGCTGCAAACATAAAGAAAGATGTTAACTGCTTGAGGGGTGATTTTAGCAACCCCAGGAAGGCATTGGTCTCTCTTCTACCAAAAGACCCCCCAAACTAATGCCAAATTCTACCCTTGCAGTTTTATCCCTTCAGCTTAAGCTTTTCTTCTCTTGGGGGATAATAGAGAATCACAGAGTGTCAGAGCTGAGAGAGACCTTAAAGGTTACTAGTCTACTCCCTCATTTTATAGATGAGGAAACTGAGGCCAAGAAAGCCAAAGTAACTAGACTAATGTCATACAACATAAGTAACAGAGCTGGAATTCCAACTCAAGTCTTCTGATTACAGATCTAGTTCTCTTTTCAGGATACCACACTCCCTATTGCCATTTATACCTCAAGGTGATTGAAGTGCATAAAAGTAGCTTTTAAGAGGGCTAAGGAGAGGTGGAGTCAAGATGGTGGGGTAAAGGCAGAGACTTGCCTGAGTTCTACTCCAAACCTCTCCAAATACCTTTAAAAATGACTCTAAACAAATTCTAGAGCAGCAGAACCAGCAAAAAGACAGAGTGAAGTAATTTTCCAGCCCAAGACAACTTGGAAGGTCAGCAAGAAAGGTCTGTTGCATCAGGATGAGAGAGGAGCACAGTCCAGTACGAGCTATACCAGCACAGACCAGGCCCCAGCAAACCAGGATCAGGCTTCGGGGCGACTGAATCAGTGGCAACAGAGGTGGTTTCCAGACTTCTCAGCCTACAGACAGTAAGAGGATCAAGCAACAGGTCAGATGGAGATTTACAGGTGTACCTTTGCTGACACCAGGGGCAGAAGTCTGTTGCATTGCCTATACTTGGGTCTGGATTGCAGTCCCGGGTCGCGGTCCCAGTGCAAGGAGGAGCGGTAGCACAGCAGAGCTTGTAGCCACAGGGGAGCAGGACCCTGGCCACACTTCCAGGGTTGAAAGGAGTGATTGTGATCACTCACAACCAGTGCACGGTATAGGAGAGTAGTAAACATACTTCTCCCTAGATCATACTGCCTGGGGAGAGCCAAAAACTTGCAGGTCCCAAGATGAGTCTTCCTGACTCCAGGCCCAATGCTTTATTCACTGCACTATCTCATTATTTCCTCTAGGATCAAATACAAACTCCTCTGACGTATATACACATATACACACATGCATACACATTTACATACATATATACACACATACACATGTGTATACATAGCAGATAAATATACACATATGTATGTGTGTATATATACTTGCACATACATACGTATATACATACATATACATACACATATGCACATACATGCAATACATACATGTAGGTGTCTATATAGATGCACACACATACACATATATACATGCATACATGCATATATGTATATCTATCTATCTATCTATCTATCTATCTATCTATCTATCTATATCTATGTAAGAAGCCCACCAGGTTATAAATTGTTTTATACACACACACACACACACACACACACACACACACACACACACCCCAATTTATAACCTGGCGCCAACCTTGTTAGGCTTCTTACACATTACTCCCCTATATACTCTTCTCAGTCCAGTCAAACTGGCCATCTGACTAGTCTGCATACACAACACTCTATCCCCCATGTCTGTGCCTTTGCATGGGCGGTTACCCATGCCTGGAGTGCACCCCTCCACCTCTGCCTCTTAGAAACTCTAGCTTCCTCCCAAATTCAGCTCAAGAGCCATCTCCTTCACATTACCTTGTGCATGTGTATTTCCTAATATATATGGACCAGCTGTTTCCTCCAGTAGAACATAAAGTCCTATAGGACAAGGACTGCTTCATTTTGGTCTTTGGATCCCTAGTGCCTAGCAGAGTACCTAGCCCATAGTAGGCCCTTCACAAATATTGATTAGTTGGCTCACTGATTTGCACTCACATCTCAGTGGCAGATTACATCTTATCTTAGAGAGATTAAAAACTCTTGTCACTGAGTTCTAGTGCCTTTCTACCAGATAGAAAAGTGCCTGATGGGACTTTGGTTGTAATCTCTGTTATCCTCTGATGAAATTTTGCCTTAATGTTTGATGGGTATCTTTGCTTTTTTGCTCTAAGTAGGAGGTGGTACAGCCGCAGAAAGAACCTTGGACCAGGAGTTGGGAGACCTACATTTGAATTCACGTTCTGTGACTAAATGGTTCCATGCCCTTTAACAAGGCACTTCCCATTATGAGGTTTAGTTTCCTCATCTTTAAAAATAGGAAGGAGGAGTGATTGAGCTAAATCATCATTCTATATTTATAATTATATTTTATTCTTTTGCACTATACTTTTGTATCTGTTTCAGTCAGGCAATAAACATTCATTAAGCTCCTACTATGTGCCAGACATTGTGCTAAGTGCTAGGGACACAAAGAAAGGTAAAAGACTATCAGGGGAGTTAGGTGGCACAGTGGATAGAGTCCCAGCCCTGGAGTCAGGAGGACCTGAGTTCAAATCCAGCCTCAGACACTTGACACTTACTAGCTGTGTGACCCTGGGCAAGTCACTTAACTCCATTGCCTAGCCCCCCCCCCCAAATTTATAAAAAGAGACTGTCCCTGATCTCAAGAAGCTCATAGTTGAATGGGGGAGACAATAAGCAGAAAACTACATACGAAAAGCTCTAAGTGGGATAAATTGGAGATGATCAACAGAGGGAGGGCACTATCATTAAGGGGGATCCAGAAAGGCTTTTTGTAGAAGGTGGGGTTTTAGCTTGGACTCAAAGGAGCCTGGAAAGCCTGGAGGTGGAGATGAGGAGGGTAAGAATTCCATGCATGGGAGACAACCAGGGAAAATGCTCGGAGTTTTGAGATGAAGTGTTTTGTGGGAGAAACAGGAAAGAGGCTAGTGTCACTGGATTACAGAGTGTGTGGAGGAGGGGTCCAGAGTGTAAGGGGTAACAAGACTGAAAAGGTGCCAACCAATATGGTACTTTGCATATAGTAGCTATTTAATAAATGTTTGTCAGATTATCTTCACACTATACCCTGAAGCATAAAATATGTCTCTAGTACCTAGCTTATTACTGGAACTAATTCAGGAATAAAAGCACATACATACATGCATGCATGTGTAGATACATATATGGATAATAAAATGAAGTTAATGAGAAGATAGAAGAAAAAAGACAAAGAAGGAAGAACATTGAGCTCAATGTGTGCTCTACCATATGAGATATGATTTAGTACCATAATTTCATTCAGTACTTCTTAAACTGTGAGTCGTGACCCCTTATGAGGTCACAAAAAATTTGGCAAAAGTAAAAGTTTTTGGAATACACAACGACCAAAAATTAACTCAAATTCAAACATGTAATGAATCTGAGGTATTTCTGGAAGTACTTGCCAGTGTTGCATCATACAACTTCACTGTAGCCCTGGTTCTGAACACATAACATGCACACTTTGCACTGCACATGCCATCATGCCATGCAACACCAATGAACACTAATGAAACTCGAAAAGGGGTCATGAGTGGAAAAATGCTCTATGGTAGAACATTTAATTAGCTGTCACTTAAACACTTCAATACTTCAAGGATTGGTGATTTCATTACTGTGAGTACTTCCTCCCTCTCACCAGTGTAGAATGTGACTCATGAGGAGCTGTGATGGAATGGTACAGCAGATTCAGAGGACCTGGGTTTGAATCTCAGCTCTGCCCCTCACTGGCTGTAGGACTTTGGAGAAATGACTGGCCCCCTTTCTGGACCTAAGTTTTTTCCTCTGTAAAATGAGACAGTTGGATTAGATGACCACTAAAGTCTCCTCCAACTCTAGATCTATGTTTCTTCTGCAATGTGGCAGGTAGCTGCTAGGGAGAAGGACTGGGTCTGTGATTTCACTGATATAAGAAACTTTCTGGTGCAGAAATACGCTCTATTATGCCAGGTTAATACCTTCTCTGTAATATGTAGACTTTGGAGAGTTGCCTAGACTCTAGAGCACTGACCAAGGTCACACAGTCAATATATCTCAGAGGTGGGGCTTGAACCCAGGTCTTTCTGGCTCCAAAGCTAGCTTCTATCTACTACATCCCAATGACTGGTTTGAAAGTTGCTGTGTTCAGAAAAACCTGGAAAGACTGGTATGGACTGGTGCTGAGTGATGTGAGCAGAACCAGGAGAACATTGTACACAGTAACAGTCACATTGTGGGAGGACTAACTTTGATAGACTTAGCCCTTCTCAGCAATGCAAGGATCTAAGACATCTCCAAAAGTCTTGTGATGGAAAATGATATCCACATCCAAAGAAAGAGCTATGAAGTTTGAATGAAGATCGAAGCATACTATTTGCTCTTTTTTTCTTCTGTTTTGTTTTGTTTCCTCTTTCTTGTGGTTCCTTCTATTGGTTCTAATTCTTCTTTACAACATGACTAATGTGAAAATATGTCTAATAGGAATGAGTACGTATAGTCTCTATCAGATTGCATGTCGTCTTGGGGAGGGAAGTAGAGAGGCAGGGGGAGAAAAATTAGAAACTCAAAAGCTTATGGAAGTAATTGTTGATAAATCAAAATAAATTAATAAAAAGAAAAAAGAAAGTTGCAGTGGCACCCTAAATTGCTGCTCAGTTGACTACCTGGTAATGAGCCTCTCTCTCATAGGTTGAACAGTAATATATAGTTGATCTTTCATATTATCAAGAGAGGAAAAATCATTTCATCATGTCAGCATGCGATAAGAAACATGTTACACAACTATTACATGCAGAAGAATGGGCTAGGTATGAAGAGAGATCTAAAGTGGAAAATTCTAGCTCCTTGTGGGAGTTAAGAAAATACCTCTTAGATGTACTCACCTGCTCTCTTGAGAGAGCAGATTGATGCACGCTGTGTGTCCACAGCGCATCGCATAAGCCAGAGGAGTGTTCTCATTGATGTCCCGAGGGCTGTTGTCCATACCTAGCTGCAACAGCAGCTGGACACAGTCAGCCTTTCCTGCTGCTGCTGCCCAGTGGAGAGGTGTCCTTGAAGAAAAAAACCATGAAGATGGAAGTTTTTGAGAATGGCTGATACACAAAGGACTACGTAGGACAAACACTTTTTTCAAATGTTCGCCATGTGTTGGCAATATAAATCTGGCAATACATTTGGCAATGTATTCCTTATTCCTACAGAACGGAGGGCATTTGAAATGTTCCTTGAGTGACCAGAATCATGGCCATTGCCGCAAGAGGACAAGGAATACTGTAGTGGAGATATTCAGGTCTTCCCTTTCTGGTGATAAGACTTGCTTAGATTTGTTCCAGAAACAACCTCAAATAGTAGCAGAAGTAAAATTACTACAGTCATAGATATTTATGTGGTGAATCAGACAAAAAATTCTTGAAATAGAGTCAGAAGAAATATGTTCAGATAACTTTATCTTTCTGGACCTCAGTTTCCCAATCTGTAAAATGAGGATTTAAACTAGATCCTTAAAGAATCCATTCTAGCTCTACATCTATGATCCCATTTTCTGAGGAAAAAAAACAAGTGCTTCTAGAAATTGGTTCTTCTTTATCCCTTTTTATCACTTATTTGCTTTTAACTGTCTGGCTGGAGTTGAACTAAGGTCTTCCTGATTCAAGGCCTGGCACTCTGTCCACTTGCATGTAGCCAATGAGTGGTAGAGTTCCAGGTGTCTAGGTGTCTGGTGTCTAGGGCTCCAACATCCAAATCTGGTCCATTTTCCACATCCATGTTGCCTCTATGTTTGTCTTACTGACAGCACATGACTATAGTCATCTTTGTGGGAGCAAATTAAAGGGCAGCGCAGGAAGCATGAATCAGTTAATGTCTGATGATCAGGAAATGGCCCAAGACCACTCGTATCGTTTGGTTAAAAGATGAAAACCGAGCAATTTCTCTCCACGTTACACCTTTCTCAGAAATAGAGCAATTATTCCCATCACCAGCCTGCATGTGAATTTTATGGGCACCCAGGATCTAATAAAACACGATCAGTCAATAAAAACGCTCCTCCCCAGGTTGACATCCTGAGATGTGGGGCACACTTTACAGCCCTTTGGTGTGTTGCCATGGATACCTGTCATCCACATCCAGAGCCTGGAGGTTGCAGTCTGGGACTTTCGCCAGCTCACTAATAATGTCGCTGTAACCTGCTGCAGCAGCAATGTGCACACATGTCTTCCCATTCTCATCATCGTAGTTGATGATAGACTGGCCCTCATGATGGCTCAGAATGACGGAACACAGAATTTTGTTTCCACTCTGGTAAGAGAGGCCAAGAAAGCTTATTATTTCAATAATCAAAGTATCCTTTCCTTTCTTACATGTTGCATTTCTGAAAGCAAAAATAGTGATTCTCCCCCATCCATGCCATTATACCAGTTCATTCTCTGAAGCCCTTCCCGTTAGCTGCTTTTATCTCAGGACTACAACATTAGTAATAATAATTGTTGCTGTTCATTCTTTTCAGTTGTGTCTGACTCTTCATGACCCTGTTTGGGGGTTTCTTGGCAGACATACTTGAGTGGTTTGCCATTTGCTTCTCTTGCTCATTTTACAGATGAGAAAACTGAGGCAAATAGGGTTAAGTGACTTGCCCAGGGTCACACAGAAATAATAATGATAGCTGACATTTATATAGACCTCTAAGGTTTATACAAGTTTATATATATGATTGCACTTGGGTATCACAAAAATCCTGTGAGATAGGTATAACAGGCATTATCACCCCCATTTCACATAGGAGGAAGCTGACAGGTTAAGCGATATGCCTTTGGTTACACAGCTAATCAGAATGAGGTTGATTTTGAATCTAGGTCTCTGTGACTCCAATCCTGGCTTTCTATGTATTATTTATGCTTCCTGAAACTTGGACGAGGTCACCAAACTGATCCAATTGTGCAATGGAATGAATAAAATGTGGTGTCACTGGTGCTGAACACTCATTTTAATTTTTTTAAAATTGTTTATTTTCATTCATTTATTCATCTAAAGCTTTATCTGAGTATCTATCTATTTCCTTGATACCCTATGATTTCATTAGTATAAGAAATTCATTTTAGGAAAACTCCCTTCACCAGTGCAGATTTGCACCTACTATATAACTTAGAGTGTTGGAGAGTTAGTCGCCTAGGGTGTTGAGAGTTTAAGTTACATGACTGGTTTATGTATAGCACAATCTAAAGTATTCTTTAACATTCAGGCCACTTGTCAACAGGTACACAGTTATACTGTATGAGATAAAATACAAGTTACAGGCAAGATGCAGGCCTTAATGCATATGTGAGGACTAAGGGATGGGGTCCAGATGGAGACAGCACTCCAGAGAGCTGGGTGCTAGTTCTGGACCTGCAATGGCCAGCTCTGTGCCCTCAGGCAGATCTCTGCACCTTCTGGGCCATTGTTTTCTCCTCTGTAAACTGAGGGAGATGAACTAGGTGATGTCCCAAGGTCCCATCTAGCTCTGATAGTCTATTAAGAGTCTAGCTTTATACTGGTCAGCATCCTTCTCCAGAAGAAAAACGATAGATAATAATATCTGACATTTGTATAACGCTGAAATTGAGGAACCACTTAAAACCAGTCATTATTTTACCCCTTCAGTTTTCTCTACACTGAATAGTTCCAGTTTGCTTAACTGAGATTATAGATTATAAGATTTGTAGCTGGAAAAGACCTTAGAGATACCACAAGCCCCTCATTTTACAGAGGGGAAAATTGAGACCCAAAGAAATGACTTGTCCAAGGCCATACAGATTAATAAGTAGTTGAGTCAGGTCCTCTGAGTCCAAATCCAGTGCTCTTTCTGCTCCATCATGACCATTTCGTCCCTTCCTAAGAGTCCTAGTTTTAAAATTGACTAATCCTTTTTTTATTACTCTTATCTGAATCATCCTCAATTTCTCTCTCTCAAAATATAGAGCTCAAAAATAATAACCAATGCATGGTCTCATTGGGACTGCTTCCAGACTCCTGAATATTTTTTTCCTATTAGTACAGTTAAATATCTCTTTGTTGGGTACAACTCCAGTACTAAAGGGTAGTCCACTGTGAGCCGCCCTTGCTTCTCCAGGCGTACGCCTATGCTGGAACCCTCTCAGCTACTGTCAGCACAGTTAGCCTTTTCTTCCTTAGTGGGTTATCCAAAGCTATGTTCTTACAGACTTTCATCTTGCTTGAGATGAAAAATTTCTCTAATCTCTTATGGTCATGAAAAATTTTGTGGCATAATGGAAAGAGTTCTTGAGTTGGAGAGAGGAGGGATCTGGCTTCAGTTCTACTCTGTGACCACAGACAGATAGATCCCCTCACTACTCTGAATCTCAGTTTTCTCATCTATAAAATGATATGGTCATGCCTCAAACATACTTCACTGGGCTGTTATGAAGATCAAAGACCATAAAGGTACTTAGCACACCTAAAGGGCTATCAACTAAGCTAGCATCAACTCTATCCAGTTTTAGTTTGAAGGGTTATGAAACCCCATCCCCAGGGTCATTTTGTGAGCCATTTGACCTGTTTTTTTTTTTAAACTTTTATAGTTGGAGGCAGCTAGGTGGCTCAGTGGATAGAGCACTGGGCTTGGAGTCAGGAGGACCTGAGTTCAAATCCTGCCTCAGACACTTACAAGCTGAGTGACCTCGGGCAAGTTGCTTAATGTCCGTTTACCTTAATCCGCTGGAGGAAGAAATGGCAAACCACTTTGCCGAGAAAACCTCGCAGACCACATTGGTGTGCTACGGTCAGATCTTGCCTCAGAATCTTACTAGCTGTGTGACCCTAGGCAAGTTACTTAACCTCCATTTGCCTTAATCCACTGGAGGAAGAAATGGCAAAGCGGTTTGCCAAGACATTGGTGTGGTATTGTCCATGGGGTTGTGAAGATTAGAACACTACCGGACAACATAAATTTCATAGTCCTTTTGCCACCCCTCTAGGAGCTGAGAGATTCTTGTGACTCTGGGGTCATTAAATTCCCCTATGACTAAATGAGTCTAAGCTTCCATGATCATCATAGCTAGGAGTAGAGCTCATCATACTCTCCCTGATTTTCTGGAGAAGATGGAAGGTAGAGAGAAGACAAGACTAGAAGAGAAAGCCCATTCTCTGAGCCAGGCCATCAGCAATGAAAATTGTTTATTTTTTATGTTGCTTTATAAAGAACTTTTCGTACATGATCTCACTTGTTCCTCACAGCAGGCCTATGATATAGATGTAATTCTCGTCATTCCCATTTTACAGATGAGTAGACTCAGGGGGTTTCATTTGAAACTTCTCTGAAGTTCAGAGGGGTTAAGGGATTTGCTCCTTGTTAGCTAACAAACATATTTAAAATGGGCGCAGGCTCAGTGTGAATGGATGGCTTCCTGACTCCAGGTTCAACTCTAGCTACTCTGCCATGCCTCTCTCTATGGCAGAGTGATCAGAGCGGGTGATGCTTCAGGGTCTCTGCCCACTTTGCCCCCTACAGGAACTGTTACTGTTACTGTTGTTTGTCCTTCATTCTCGTAGGTAAACAATTGGAAGGGCAATTCCAGGCAGCAGCCCCTGCTTCTGAAACCATGTGGATTCAGTGAATACCTTATTCTACGACGCGTCTGTAATTTCTCACATTCTGCTGCCATCTGTGAGCTTAATGAACATTTCAAAGAATTATTGAAAGAAGAGAGCCCAATCAGAAGGCTATTCTTTTGGCCCACCAAAGAGGGGAGGGTGGGTGCTGTAGGATGAAAGGGGCAGAGGGAGGAAGATGTTTAAATATTCATGGATAGCTAGCATAGTTTTCTCAGGACAGCTTTAAAGGAGGGAACCAGTCTGACCAGAAAGTCCATTGTTATTGAGTCATTTTTCAGTCATGTCTGACTCTTCTTGATACCATCTGGGGTTTTCTTGGCAAAGATACTAGAGTTTTTTTTCTCCAGGTCATTTCATAGACGAGAAATCTAAGGCAAACAGGGTTCAGTGATTTGCCTGGGGTCACACAGCTAATAAGTGTCTGAGGTCTGATTCGAACTCAGGAGAATGAGTCTTCCTGGTGATAGGCCTGGCACTCTGTGCACTATGGAGCCCCCTAGTGGCCCGCCAGATAGTTAGACTAGAGCCAAATTTTAAAGTGGGTGAAGTTCAATATTTCTGGTCTCCCTTTTTGGTACCCTCTTCCCTAAATGGTGTTTCTTCCCATCTTTGTTGTCCACCCTCTCTGTACCTCTGTACTCTCTGGACCAATACCCTTATTAAAATTTCCACTCAGAAAATGTTCTGAAAACTCAATTCACAAAAATAAGGTTTTCTAAATCTGGCACCCTGAGCTATAGCTTTCTCACCAGTCCCACCCTTCCCTCTTATGGAATTATCAAAGAATTGTGAAAGGATCCCAAGACAGGGGTCTGTTGGCACATGTTTAACAACCAGTTAGGGTGGGGAAGAAAAAAAAAGTATATAAGACATGCTTTCAATTTCAATCGTCATTTTCTCCATCACTTTCTGAAATCTAGAGAATGACAAAAACAAAACAACAAATCAAGCCGTCATTGGTAGCTTTTGCCAATTTCCCAGAAGTAAATGCTCATATTAAAAATGTAACTAACTGGGGCAGCTAGGTAGCGAAATGGATAGGCCTTGGAGTCAGGAGGACCTGAGTTCAAATGTGGCCTCAGACACTTGACACTAGCTATGTGACCCTGGGCTAGTGACTTAATCCCATTGCCTCACCAAAAAAAAAAAAAAGAAAAAAAAAGAGCAAAAAAAAATGTAACTCACAGCTGTTGTGAGTGGTTCAAGCTGGCTCCAGCATACCCTTGTCCAAAAGGCGTTGGGACAAAAGGGGAATAGAAGAGAAACAAAGAGCCCAAGGAGATCACTACCTGGTTAATTAGCTTCTGAACCTACCAGGGTTGGTATGGTTAGCAGTCAGGGCCAAGATTTGTCCTTATATAGGCACTGTAGGCCACCAAAAAGTTTTACTGTGGACATATTTTCATGTACCTTTGTCCATGTTACTTTCCTTCAATAGCAAATCAGCTACTGGAGGGCAGGATCTATTTAATTTTTGTCTTTGTAGCCCTGGCACCTGGTGCATTGTAGCCTCAGTAAATAAATACGTTTTTGAATTAAATCTAACTGAATAGTGAGGCTTGAGGGCTCCTGAAAGGCCTTTCTTGCTTTTCCACATACCTTCCCCCATCTTCAAAAAGTTAACATGCACTATGTTGTGCTCTTCTGAGTGTTCCAAGTGGATAATTCGTTCCAATACTATATTTAAG